CATGGAAGTTTCAAAGGTTATTCAAGTAATAATTACTACAAGCACCATTAGAAAGAAAAACATGGATAATTTGATTAAGATGTTGACCAAGGAAAAGGATGTCGAGGAAAAGCAGTAAGATGATAACGAGGAAGATAAAGAAACTGCAAGTAAAGAAGAGGAGGAAAACTTTGAAGATTGGAGTCTTTTGGCTTAAGTTGTGGTTGACTTTTGTTGAATGCAACTTTTTAGTTAGCTGTTTTGATTAAGTTTTTTTGCCCTTGTATATGGGCATGCTATATTTCTTCGTGTAATGGCTCTTTAACCATGACAAATGGTTCAACATAATGACAATGATTCCAATTATTCAAGATTTGATACTCAATATTTGATTATCTAATTTTCATTTCCATACCTTTGACAAATTATGGCAAAAATGGGGAGTAATTTTTAAATGCTTGTGTGTTATGTATGTCTGTGTGCATGCATGTAAGCTTATTAGGTGCATGTATGTGTGGAAGCTTCTGTGTACATGTTAATTTGAGATCTCTTGAGGTGTAGCAACCACATTGCATGTTATCTGATATATATATATATATATATATATATATATATATATATATATATATATATGCTACTTTTGTTGTTGTTGTGTATATTCAAATGTTCTGATGTGGTGTGCTACTTTTGTGCTCATTAATGGTTCTTTATTTGAATTACTCATGCATATGTTATTTTACCCAAAAAACAATCAAAAGAACAAAAATCTACCCATTTGGAAAAATTTGGCTAAAACAACTATAAGATGTAAGTTGTGAATAGGCATCATGTGAAACAAAATGTTCTCGCGTGAGGTACAACATCTGACCTTTGTCTATAAGCCAATTTAAGTGAGTAAATATGTGAGTAATTATGTTTAATTTCAAGGAGACTTGTCATTTGAGTTGTATATTTTAACAATGTGTTTGTTAAATAAGTTTGGCTAAAAAGATTGTCAAATACCAAATCAAATTGACTAAGACCAAATATCCCAGTGGACATTAGTGAATAAGCAAATCAAATCTGCATTAAATCTAAATCTACATCAAATCAAATCAGGTTGTTTTAAAATCAAATTCCTAAGTCCACCAGATAATTTTCTATATAAAAAGACATTTCCTAACAAAGAAAACACACACAAGTATTGAAGATCTATTGTGTTAGGGATTGTTTAATGAGTCTTTGTTCTTGTTGTTATTTGTGTACATCTATAGCGCCTATGTTTCAAATATAAGGCATAAAGGTTGTTTTGTTAGTTTAGTTGTATTTTACAATCTTTAATTATGTTTTATTTATTGATCACTAGGGTAGTGATTGAGAGAAAAGTAAAAGGGGTTATCATATTTAGGGGGAGTTATAAATAAAAAGACACAAGTAGTATTAGAAAGATATGCATTGAACAATGGTTGTTCATCTAAGAATGTTTGTACTAATACTATTGAGAGTGGATTTCCTTGCTTGGGTTGGAAGCCCCCTAAATGTAGGTGATGTTGCACCGAATTGGGTTAACTATCCTTTGTATTCTTTATTGCTTTATGATTTATACTTTGCATTCTGTTAATATGATATAAGCATGTTGTACTCATGAATTCTCTCAAGTTAATAGAGTAAAAAATTTCACAAGTAAACCAAAAAGTAGCCACTAGTTGTACTCATGAATTTGCTCGAAGTTAATGACGTAGTAAGCACTTTTGTCCATAAATATGGATGTGCCAACTAAATACATGAGGTGTGACCTCAATGAATATACTATATGATGTAAAACCTCACCATCAACCTCCATTACCGCAACCGTATAATTTATATACAACTTCTCAAAAAAAATTCAAATATAGCATGATACCCTCCAGTGTCCTCCATCTTCTTTTGAACATCACATGCGTCAGCTCCCAAATAGGCCACTAGCATGTCCAATGCATCAGGTCTGGTGATTCTGGAGTGGTATAATAATCTTCCACTAATCAGAAGATATAGTAGAAATGACACATCATCTGGTGTAATGGACATCTCATCATGCAGAAGATGAAAAATGATGTCTTAAAGTGTCATATCTCAACATGGTTAATAACAGTATAACTAGTCCTACATAAATCTTGCAACCCAGATAGTTACATGAAATCAAGAAACTGTTTCTCCTTAGGTTGTTGTAGCTTCACAATCTTTCTACCATGGTTGATGCATTTTGCATCACTGTACTATAAAAAATAATACATCACTGTCAAAAAGTTTAAATATTATAATACATGTGTTTCAAAGAAAAAATACATATATATTTTACCTTTCCATCCCACATGTGCCTAGCAACATAGTTTGCATATAGAGGCAGTAGTGAAATGTCATAAGGTTCTCCTAAAAAAGAACTCAGGAACATCAACAACATATGCATCAATATGCACTAGCGAGGCTTCTGAGGCAATAACATGTGACATTTACCTCCGGGAAGACAAAGTCGGAGATGCCTAAAATCTAGAAGTGGATGCTTCTACATCAAATAAACTGACACCAACTGGTGGTCGTGAGGGTGAGGCTCTCTCCCTGCAAACAGATGCATGTTGGAACACTCTATCGTGCCTATGTTCTTATTTGTCAACCATTTTACTTGTAATTAAACCAATAAAAGTAGACAAATCATACAAAACCAAACCTAGATGAAATGATCAAATAATGCAGCCAAAATAGACAAACTCAAATAATGCAAATAAAATACGAAAGTGCACTTCTGTATTAAAAAAATCAAATTTAGAGAAAATACAGAAGTGTGTTTATGTATTTTCCTAAAATGCAAAAATGGCCAAAAACGCATAAATGCCTCATGCCCTATGCTCTAAATGTCAACACATGCCTCAATAAAATAAGTATTATTAGTCTAACTACAAACTAACTAAACAACCTATTTAGTAATGCATGCATCACAAATACAAAAATGAAGGAAATACAAAAACTTACCCAATGTGAGAAGTGAAAGCTCTTGAATTGAATAAACTTTATTAGTGATTGATAAACCTCTTGGATTAGGCGCAATGCATAAGTAAATTTTAGCAAGGTTGAAAAATGGTGGATTTGGAAGTTCTCCCAAACAAATGAGAAAGTTTTACTCATAGGAAGTTTTGCTGAAAATGAAGAAGGGGGAAAGTCTGGCGCGAGTATGACTCAACGATTTTCTAGAATTGGGAGATGCATTTCTGAAATTTTTCTATTTGCATTGTTTAGATTCATTTCATTGTGTTTCATATGTATAATGCTTGTGCAGTTTAATTTTAGACATTATGAATGATAAGCAATATATATTTAGGCATAACAAAGTTGCGCAACATGCACAGTTTCAGAGGGTAAAAGCTCGATCATCCGAGGTATAAATCAATTATAGTTCAGTAGATGTGGAGACGTCAATTTCTGGGACTCATGCATCTCCTTATTTGTTTTCTCGTAGGAGGCAAGTGTCACCTCTTGATGCTCAAGAAATCCCACTGGTACATGTTGAGGCATCTGAGGCGCCAAAGGTGGCACCCAAGTACCCCGTGGGTTTAGAGGAGGCTCGTCTGACTTATCCATGTTGCCTCTATATCCAGACCATGGTACCATACATGTGTGAGACATAAATGTAAAATTCAATTGTATTCATTCTTTGAAACACATTTGTTATAAAATTTCAAGTTTTTGATGATGATTTATTTTTTTGCAAGACCATGATGCTTTAAAATGCATCAATTATGGCTGGAAGATTTCGAATCTGCCGTAGTTTGTTGAGCTGTGGTTTCAGGATGTGATACACCTATCTAGGTTGAGAGACTTGTATAAGACCATGTTACGATTAACCATGATATGTTGTTTGTGTTTGTTGAGAGATGACACTCTAAGACGTCATCATTTCATATTTCACATGGTGATATGTCCATCACACTGAACGATGTCTCATGCTTATTACATCTTCCGATTAGGGGGGAATGTTAGACCACCACTGGGTTATCAGAGATGAGGCAGTGGAAATGATGGTGACCTATTTGGGAGCTGACCCAGGGGATACCTTGCAAGAGTTAGAAGCCACCCGATGGCAGATCATGTTTTTGATGTGTTGCCTAGATGTCGATGTATTATGGAATTTGGGCAGACAAGTATAAACCTATGAGTCTTTTCAAAAGGCTCTGAGGTGAGGGACATTCTAGATGCCATCATGGAGAAAACACGAACGACACTGCAATACAGAAGACAACATAGGAACAGGCGGTCCGGGTCCGACATATGCAGTAGTATATAATATTTGTATTAGGAACACTATTATCGTTTCTAATTTATATTGACTTCATTATGGATCTCAAAATTTTCATTTATATATGACATTTTCATATTATTTGATAAGTGTATATTTAATTTATATAAAATTTAATGATAGTATAACTATAATACATTGTCAATTACGTCTGTGTATCTCTAAAACAAAGTCAAAAAAATTTGTCTAACATAAATACGAAAATATATCTCTATATTTTGTATGAGGTGTTTACGGAGATGCATCTTCAGATCAATTTATATCAAAATGAGTCTATCTCAGTTAAGAATACATAGGGTGCGTATAGAGTGAATTTCAAGATATATTTTCAAATTAAATTTTAGAGCACAATATGATGAGATTCACTTAAAATATGTTTTGATGTGAAAAGGATATTGCCGGCATGCACTTTCAAATTTAAGGGACATTTTTAAATTTTCTTAGCATGTTTTCCATCATTTACATCGGGATAAACAATTAACTTGTGAAGATACACCCTTTTTTTCCATATTGGCCAGCTCAATTCATTCAAAGGCCCCATCTTACACCTGTTACCTCTAAACACTAAATAGAAATAGGCGAGTCATGAATGTGTGTGGACACTTATTGAAGTGCTATCCAAACGTCATTATTCAAATGCTGTTCAAATTATTTTAGACCACAGCTTGTGACAGTAGAGTTGAGAATGACTTTTTAATTAAGCTATTTCTTCACTTCAATCAAATGTCATTTGTTCAGCTTCATGTCTGATAGATTCAAAAAGTGGTGAAGACAGGTAGCGCTCTCCAAAACTCGGAAAAATCGTCTGCACAACATCGACTCAGAATTACTCAACATTTACATTAACAACTAATAATTTGGTATTCACAGCAAACATTATGTAATAATATAGGTACAAGTCGTAGACCATAACCATCTTATAGTTATGCGTAGAAAAAACTTATAAAGGATTGTAAACTTACAACGATAAGCTTTCCTGCATTTTCTGGTCTCTTCCCTAATTTTATTGCAGCTGCAGCAGCAGCACCTGATGAAATTCCCATCTGCAAAAGACATTCGTAATAGCATCATATTTGCAGAACCAAATAACAAAAATCACAAGTTATGATGTCATACCAGTAAACCTTCTTTCAAAGCAAGCAACTTAGCAGTTTCCATAGCTTCTTCACTTGAAACCTGTAATTCATAATAAAACCTTGCTGGTCAAAACACAAAAGAGAGACTCATTTTAAATCAAGGAAAATATCAGATTCTAGATCAAAATTGAGAATAGAATACAATATATTAGTGTTGCAAGTTACCTGAATAACTTCATCTAGAAAATCAAATTCCAGAATAGGGGGAACCATACCGGCACCGATCCCTTGAATTTGATGTTTTCCTTTGAAATGTTTAGAGATGGAAAAATAAATCAGTAAACAGACTCAAGTGTTTGTCTAAGGACTTGCTTATCAAAGAGTAAAATTCTGAAGGTTTATATATGACATGTAAACAATACAAATTGGAACAATTCAAATGAATAACAATGATATTTATATTCAGAATCGTAAGATCACCTGGCTTTCCTCCATTCAGAACCGCACTTTCAGCCGGTTCTACACCATATACCTAGGGCGAAACGCGGCATAAATTGTTACAAAAACTTGTTCACATGTTCACTCTCAACACAAAGAGTATGCAGGGTAAACAGACCAACCTTGATTTCTGAGTTTTTCTCCTTGAGGAACTTCCCAGTACCTGTTACAGTTCCCCCAGTTCCTATCCCTGCAACCAAAGCATCAATTTTCCCTCCAGAGTCTCTCCAGATCTCAGGGCCAGTTGTCTCATAATGAATCTAAAACAACAACAAAAAAACTATTGGCTACAGTTTTTTTTTCATCTCATCAACCAAATTACAAAATACCAATTTTAAGAATACCTTTGGATTGGCAGGGTTTTCAAATTGATTGAGCATAAAACTATTAGGCGTCTTCGCTAATAGCTCGTCCGCTTTCTCAAAAACACCATCAACTCCTTTAGCAGGATCTGTCAAATATACATCCGCTCCGAAAGCTCGCAGAATAATTTTTCTCTCAAGACTCGCATAAGACGGCATAGTCACTAAAAGCTTATAGCCTCTCAGTGCTGCTATCGACGCCAATCCTATGCCGGTGTTACCACTTGTAGGCTCAACAAGGACAGTCTTTTCAACCATTGTTCGAAAAGATTAAACTCACTTAGATTCTACATCCAACAATATGAACAATATACAAGCTCATGACGAAAACCTAGAAATCAAACATGACTATTTACCTTTCCAGGAGTAATTAGGCCTTTGTTTTCAGCATCTTCAATCATGCTTAACGATATTCTGAGTGAAAAATAAAAACAAGATTATCATTACAAATTCTTATATTAGAATCTTAAAACTTAAAATTTCAAAAAAGTTCAAGTTTGTGAAAATGAAGAATTTCATGCCTATCTTTAACACTGCAGCAGGATTGCAAGTATTCTAGCTTAGCAGCGATTCGAGCAACACAGCCTTCAGTAATGTTGTTAAGATATACCAATGGAGTATTCCCTATTAACTTTACAATAAAATCATAATTATTAAAAATAAAAAACATGAAACTAAAAATAGTTATTATTAAGAGAAAATATTACTTCAGTAGCATCTTTCTTGATTGCAAACTGTGTCTCCATGATATCGGATGAAGAAAGCCTGCAAAAGCTTGATTCTCTTTTAGAAATCAGCAGAAAAAGAAAGCATCATATATAACATCTCAATTATTGCTGGGCACATAGAAGTCTAAAAATGATAAAACAAAGGAGATTGGAAATGTTGTACTATCCAATGTCTTCAATGACAGTTTTGGATTGTTGAAAGAAGCAAGAAGTTTAAGCTTGAACGTATGTGTATTTTAAGAGTTTTTAGACTTTTTTATTCTTTTTAGCTAAGATCCAAACGTTATTATCATGTTTTGTGGAAAATAATTTTAAAAAAAGGGTTGGTTGTGTTTTTATTAAAGATATTCATATTAAAGAAATTTATATACCCCGTTCGTCTAATAATTGTCCATTAAAAATCCTCAACTTTTACACATTTGGCAACCAACTTTTAGTTTCTTAATGCTTATAAAAAAACCATTTCCTTTCTAACTATTTTTCTTTAATAATTGAGTGAATTTAATTTTATATTTAAACAACAACTTTCTTAAAATGAGACTTAGAAATTTTTATTTTTAAATAATTTAGGGGCTGTAATTCATTTTATTAAAAAATATATAAATAAAATATCGCAAATTTAATTAAAATTGTATCTACGAAACATAAAACATTTTTGATGCAAGTGTCACGGAGGTTTAATAAAAGGATAAATGTGTATTCGATTTTTCTTCTACTATTCTATTATCTATCTATTACAATTTAATTGCATTAACTTTTAAAATTATTCTTTCATCACAATTATTTACACTAATAAAAGAGCATTTTAGTAATCAATTAATATTTACTTTTTTCATTCTAATCTTCTATTAAATCATAACAACTGACATTCATTTATCAAGTTCCATCAATTAAATATTATATGCATTCATTCTCTCTCATCATTCAAATTTTAGATCTCTATCATATTTTTTTTCATACTTTTTCACTTTCATTTTAATTTTTTTTGTATTTATTTATTATCACAAAAAATATTAATAATTTATTTTTTAATTTAATAAAATAACAATATATATTTATCTCACGGATTTTTATTAACACAATATCTATTTTATTTTAATCAACTATTGTCTTAATTTGAGAGACAAAATCTTTATTTTTAAATATTATTTTTTTCCTTTCTCCATCTCTCGATTCTTTTTTTTTCTTTTTTTACATAATTATTTAATATATTTAAATTTATATGATTATTGTTCATTTTAAAATTAAATAAATCAATTTAAATTTTGTATTTGTATCTAAATACATTTATATCACATTAAATAACTTTTTATCTCCCGAATCATTATCGCATTAAAATATTTTTTTTATCTTTCTTCATCTCACAAGTTTTTATTTTCTTTTTGCATGATTGTTTAATACAATTAAGATTGTATAATTATTTTTTATTTTATAAATAAATTACTAATTTCAATTTTACATCTGTATAAATACATTTTATATTGTATCCAATAAACTTTTTATCTCACGGGGTCACTATAAACACAGTATATATTTTATTTTAATCAACGATGACCTAAATTTGAAAGATAAGTTTTTTTATTATTAAATATTAAATATTTCTTTTTTTACATCTTAAAAGTTTCATTTTTTTTTATTTTAATACAATTAAATTTATATAATCATTATTCATTTTAAAATTAATAACTAATTTTAAATTTAAATAAGCATATAATATATTTTATATTGTTCAAATTTTACATATATATTTAAATATATTTTATATAGTATCAAATGATTTTATTCATGCTGGAGTATAAGTATCTTACTCATTTATGGTTAAAATAATTTGTAATGACTATGTGTGTTTTACATAATTTATTAAGAAACTTTAATTAAACTCCGCTAGCAATAGAAAAATTACTTATTTCTTTTTATCAACTAATATATAAAAAAAACATCATTCCATGCAAGGCAGCCGGAATTGAGTTTTTATCTTGATTTTTTTTTGTTTAGATAAAATTAAAATGTAATTTTACTTCATATTCAAATAATATTATATATATATATATATATATATATATATATATATATATATATATATATATATATATATATATATATATATATATATATATATATATATATATATATATATATATATATATATATATATATCCAACAATATGTAAAAATTATGGTAATTGAAAAAGATAAGCTTTAATATATTTTTTTCTACAATACATTTAAAATTTTAAATAGAGTTTTGTTATTAACCACGTTGCTAAATTCAACATTAGAAATTGAAATGAGTTTATCTATACACAAAACAGTATAATCAATTTTTCTAAGATAAAAGTAAATGCAATAAAAATATTATCCAAACAAACAAAAGTTTCATGAGTGTTTTCATCTTCGATTTTAACTTAATTGAAAGTTCATTCCTTCAATAACATCATTTTCATCCATATTTTCATCTTCAACTTGATCAAACTTGTCTCCATTTAATAAAGGTTATTCAATATTAGAACCAAAGCCACAATTGTTTGAAGGTGGAGACGAAAGATTGCTTGAACCAGTAGTTTCACAACCAACACTAGCTTCAACATGGACAGGTTGATGCACATTCTCATCATCATTATTAGCATATCCATCAAAGGTAGTTAAATTTTCATCACCAAATTCAATATCGACAAATTCAAGTGGTTTTTTATTTCTAGTCTCTTTCTTTGTTAACTTCATATTGACAATAACATAAATTAAATCATTCATTCTTTGTTGATGCAACCGGTTTCTTTTCTTGGTATGAACCTAGAAAATGAAAACAACCAAATTTATACTATAAACTAAAACTAATAAATAAATTTTAAAACTATAATCAAATTTTAAAATCGAATTACCATTTCAAGTGCACTCTAGTTGCGTTCACATCCAAAAGAGCTACAAGTCAAACTTAAAACACAAATAGCAAACCTCTTTACCTCTAGAATATAATCTCCATATATATATATCCCACCATTGTGTCAGATGCATACTTGTCCTGACTTTCTTTGCATACTCAGTACCAAAAAAAGGCCCTTGATAAAAATGAGAGTCAGCAAGTTGCATGTTTATCTTGTCCTTTTCAACATCATCACTTACTAATCTTGACACACAATTGTATAATCCATTTTTAACATCAAGATCATCACCCTTAAAATCTTTTCCAAAGTGATATTGAGGATTAAGATAATATGCATCTGCATGCAAAGGCCTATGGAGTTGACCCTTCCAACGTTCATTAATAATCTTCCATTTGGGTTTATAACTACAATACGAATAAAGAAGATCTATTTTATATCAAACAATATGATTTAAAGTGTAATAAAACTAACAAACAAATAGCTTAATTTCATAATGATGTGTCCACATATTGAATTTTAAATGACACAATAATTATGAGAAGTTGTGAACTTACTATATCTAATCTTACTAAAGTTGCTTTGAATACGTTTTTTTTTTGCAAGAATCCATCGCCTCATAAATGAAACCCATGTCGGGTTTTGCATTAGAATGAACAAGAACCAGACCCTCCATCACCACTCTCATCCTCAATCATAAATGTGAATCTAACAAAGAAAAAATAATCAAATTTAAATAATAAATTTTAACTAAAGTCAAATAGTGATTTAAAACTCAAACTCTTGGTTTATCTTTTTAATCGCGTGTAACACACACTAACACACATATATATATTTATTAGTATTTATTTAATATGTTATTAAAAAAAACTAGTGGCCATAAATGTGAAGTGCATACTACTATGATCAACACGGAAACATTCACATGCAAAAATGATATTAAAAGATACACTTGATTAGAAACAGTGAAATAAACTATACAACTTTTAAAATTATACATACTATATCTATATATAAATTGTTCTAGTATGGTGCATACTATATACAACTTTTAAAATTGTACATACTATATCTATATAAAATTGTACATACTATATCTTCTTAAAAAATGTAATAAACAAAAAGAAAAGAAATTATGTCACATGCAAAAGCCAAAATCTTTTTGAAATGGTACAATTTTACCTTGCTTATTGGTAGTCAAAGCGTAGTAGTGGGAGTTGAACAAGAGGGAGAAAAGGCGATGGTTGCCGACAACACAATGGAAATGATAGAATGTTGGTCGAAAGTAGTACCTAAGGGTTCAAAAGTTTTTTTTAATTTTCAATGCTTTGGTAAATGAAATTTCTAATGTCTAATGAAAAAATAGGTTATTTAAAGTGAATAAAATGATAAAGTGAGAGAAGTTTTATTGGGCTAGACTTTTTAAATTTTCAAGGAAAAAAATGTTAGAACACAAATTGGTTCTTAATAATATCTCTATGTTTTGATGATAACTATCAGGAAATTTTGTATTTAAGAATTATATACTCTAAAATTTGCTTGAGAGTTTTACTGCAGATTGTAAAGAAATTAACACTCCAGAAGCAAATCAGAATTGAATACAAGAAATTAACTAGACTCTGAAGCGCCAGATGCACTCATTAGAAGATTTTGATTGCTGCTAACAGAAGATCCTGAGCGTAGCCTCCAGAAGGATCTGAGGCAAGAAGCTCCAGAAGATTCTGAAGCAGAAGCTCCAGAAGAATCTGAAGAAAGCAGAAGCATCTGAAGCAAAGAAGAATATTGTATGAAGAGTTTTTCAAAGCATAGTTTCTACAGAAGATTCTGAAAGTACTAAAGCTTCCAGTACTGAAGTTCTGTGTCAAATATGCTCTGATGATTAACACGCTGAAAGCACACATGCTGAAGAAGACTCTAATACAGCAAAGTTCTGAACATCATTAAAAGACTCTGACCCAATCAGATTCTGATGAACTTGCTAAAAACTGAAGAAGAAATATTCAAAGATTATATCCGTTGGAGTAAATCAAACGTCTCTTTCCTCATTTATGCTAGACACAAGAACACAGACAAAAAGGATTTTTCTGTGCTTTCTTCTTCTAGGAAAGGTCACTTGATGTGAGGACAAAAAGGCTCAGA